GTGTGTGAATGTGTGTGTGAATGGGTGGATGACTGGATGTGTAAAGCGCTTTGGGGTCCTTAGGGACTAGTAAAGCGCTATATAAATACAGGCCATTTACTTTTTTCAAGTAACTTGACCAACACTGGTCATTAACAGCTCGCTGAGGTGAGGTTGGATTCCATCCTAATTTAAAAGTGCAGAGCTTTACTCACAACTATCGATCTATTATGAAATTGCCATTTGTTAGCAGATTGTTAGAAAAATAATCAAAACTTTACTCAACAAATTACAGATTTTTTATCCTTTTCAGTCTCACTTTCAAAAGCAGTACTCATCTGAGGCTGCTATTGAAGGTCTATAATGATGTTTTGAAGCACAGCAGTGGTGAAAAATATTAAATTAACTGTTTATTTTATTACCTTCTTACTTATTTAACATGTCTTCCATTATGTCCTAAAGAAAAGTAGTTTTTAAAATCCATATATTTTCTTATTCCCGATATATGAACAGTATGTCATGTTCCTCTCCAGCATTTATACTAATGTATATTAGTTTTAGGTTTGCTACAGAGAAGCATCCGCACTTGCTCCTAGCTTGTATGGGTATGTTTGACATTGCTGTGTAGTTTAACATCAGCCCTTTTCACTCCCATGCCATTGTCTTTTATCCCCGTCACTGATACATTTGAATTGTTTACACAGGCTGTTGGGTCAAAGCACTGAACTCTGAGACCAGGTACCACATCCAGTGATGTCTGATTTTACCTTGTCTTTAGTTTGAAATGTGTCAGTGTTGGGTTGGTAATCATTCATGTACATATGAGGATGCAACAGAATCATTCAGGTCATTCTGAAGTCACAAGCCCCTTACTCGACTCAAGGAATCTCGCAAATGAATATTTTATTTTATTTATCGCTGAATTTGAAGCTGCAGTTTCAAATGACCTAAAACATTTTTGCACAATATTATCATCTGAAGTTTGGTTTGATCTTTAAAAAATCTGTTTATGTTGGGTTTTTTCTAGACTCTGCTATTATTAGGATATAAATTCATTAATTATGCTCAAAAGGTCACAGTTTGATCTCTTTAAAGGGAACTTTTGGGTCAAATAAATAAAAATAAAAGAAATGATGTTCACATGCAACAGTTGCTGTGCCCTCACTGCAGGAGCTTGAGCTGGCCTGTCACCCAGCCCACTCTGTCTTCCTTTTAAACGGACACTTTTCTGCCCAGCTGGACATCGCTGGGGTTTTGGTGCAAGTATCCTCTAAACAGGTGGATTATTTACATTTTTGTTCAGGGAACTTTAAACGCAGTATCAATAGACACTACAGTTACAAATGAAAAGAGCCCTTTCAGTCTACTATGGAGACTAATGATTTAGTATTAATATATGAAATACTTGGTAATTACTGCATATTTCTTGTAGTTATTTCATATGTTGCACTTCCTTTTTGGTGCAAGTAGAAAGCGTGTCTCTGCAGTTTTCAGTCTTTGCAGTTTTCAGTCTTTGGACCGAACAGTTCTGACCTGTTCAGTCAGGGTCCGTTTGTTTCACACCTCTGATATAACCCTCTATATTAAACAGCATCATGTGTATACTATGCCTTATTTACAATGGTAGGAAACCCAGTTTGGCTTAAAAAAAATCATTCTTGAAAACCAACAGAATATAGAGTGTGTGCATGTGCATATGTTTCTGCTTTGTCGTATGTTTTGGAGAGCAGGGGAATATATAAGACTGCGGGAGGGAAACCTTAATGGATTCTGCACCATTAGTGAGCCATCCAGGCTATCTGTAGCAGGCAAATGACACGATCGAGATGCAGAAACCCCCTGCAGGACCCCTACTGATGTGAGCCTGGAAACAGAGTGAGCGATAGGGGGAGAGGGAGATGACTGTGTGATTTAATGTAAGGAAGCGAAGCAGCGTTCAAATTGATAAAGAGAGCAAGAGAAGCAGGAACAGAAAGAGAGGAGACGAGCGCTGTATCACTGGGGAGCAGAGAATCCAAGGGTGGAGTGGAGCGCTGCTACGGCTC